GTTCAGATCGCGCATGATAACTTTACTAGAAGGGTGTTAACCAAGCGGGATGCAGGGCATGCTCGACCTAAAGTCCTAATAGACAGTTACATAGTGATTGACATTGACCGCTTTCAAGAAATTTAAGCCCAAATTCAAAAATGTGCTTTCGGCAGGAAAAACATGATTTAATTGGGATTATATGATTAATTACTATACAGCACGATCTGCCGTTGCAATTGAGTTTAGGATTTTCAGTCCAGCAACGGTATGCCTTCCGTGAATTAAGCAGCATACGGTCCTCTATACGGTTGAAAAGATACCCTATAGTGCTCACATAATCCTGCAATGACTGAAAAACTACTGGGACTAACTCGTTCCTTTTTGCCTTTGGGCTCATTTTCCAGCCTCGTTAAAAGCCGCAGAGCGGCTAGTAGCATGGGCAGCTAAAATTACCAGCAAAGACAAGGGAGATGGCATTGTCACCTGCGGCTTGTAAGGCGTCATCAACTAATTATATTGAATCTCAGGTTCTGCAAACCCTGAGGCTCAAAACCGTGACCTGTTGGTTAGAAGGGCAATGCCCTTAACATTTTTAATACACCCGATGACAAGCGACAGGACAGTGAACTCGTGACTCAGTGCACTGGATTGCTAATTAACAGTTTGTGAGTTTTAGCTTCAGGGATTGCATAACCTTTAGTCGTGTATGGCTGCCTGTTACCGGCTAACAAGTCAGAAATAACCACCTCAGTGCCTCTTGGCTTTTGTTGGTAAGGTGTTTAGCTCTGGAAATTAAGCAGAAAAACAATGGCATTCGTGCTATGGAGTTTCTTGCCTTGCTTGGATCATCTCCTACCAAATGATTGGTCAAACCCCTGGGGTCATGACCGTCTATGCGCCGATAAAAATGGTTCGGTAACAATCTGGGAATTAATTCTCTCTTATTTTTGGTGCTCCACTTACGAAGTGCGTGGATGTTATACTTTTTGTTCCTGGTTATCGGGCTTTTCCTGCTTTACTCTGACTGGCGTTTTGTTACTTTTCATCCGAAACACCGTATTTAAAGAACACCTATTGTAATTATTTGCAAACTATGTTGATTAGACACGAGACTGTGAACTGGTGTACCACAGATGACTCTGGCCTAAATTTCAGGGGGCTATGTTTGTGAGGATTAATGTAAGTTTAGCGTTAAAAGGGTTATGGCCGACTGCTAAAGGCTAGAAATGACCATGCTAGTCTCCCTTGTCTTTACCGGCACTACTAGATCCCTCGACTACTAGCCGCTGAGCGGCTGCTGTTAGGGCAAGCGAGACGAGTGAGTTCCGTTAGCGGTAGGTGAACATTCGTCAATGAGCGTCAATATCTCCTGACCTAAACCGGCGAGACAACGAGCTCGTAGTTCAATGGTTAGAGTGGTAGACGTATGATCAAAAGGTCGCGAGTTCGAGCCTCAAGTGCTACACCACTTGGGCCTGGGTATGACTGGCTGACGACGGCTAATAAGCCAGAAATGGCCATTCCAGTCTCCCTTGCCGGCAATACTACCTGACTAGACTTAAAGCCCCAGCAACGTAGCGGACTGTCCTCTTCGTTAGGGGTCACTTCTTTCCCATCATTATAACTCCGGTTTGTTAAACTGGTACTGCGCATCATACTTTTTATTACTAAGTGGTTACATTGTAGAGGTTACATTGTAGAGACCTTGTACTCTAACAAATGCATGTCCCACATGTCTGGCTC